GAGAGAGAGAGAGAGAGAGAGAGAGAGAGAGAGAGAGAGAGAGAGAGAGAGAGAGAGAGAGAGAGAGAGAGAGAGAGAGAGAGAGAGCTAGGAAGAGAGAAAGAGAGCGAGGAAACGAAGATGAGAATGAGCGCAGAAGCGACAGACAAGTTGCATCAGAGTTAGGTTGTTGATACTCACCGGCGAGGGCGCACTTCGCGGCACCTTTGAAGGCTGTGTCGAACACCTGAACGACCGTCACGCCCTTGGGAATGCAGGCGAATTTGGAGCTGAACACACCATGGTCGACAACGTTTCCGAAACCGCACACATCCGACACCGTAGCATCAGATGGAAGGAGAGCCTCGTCGAGCGAGTCGCACGACGATGCCGAGGGAACACGCGTACCATATCCAGAAAAGTGGAAGAACAGCACATCACCTGCGCACGCACCCTTGACCAACCAATCAAGCGCCGCCAGGATGCAAGCTTTCGTGGGCGGCGTTGTGCAAGCCTTAACGCAGCTCGCATCCACTTCCCCATCGGCCAGCACGCACACTTCAGCCTCTGCAAATCCATACACCGTCGTGAGCGCTGTCTTCGCCTGCACGACATCATTGACCGCTCCATGCAGAGTAGGCAGATTGCTGTTGTCGCCATAGCTAGCGCCGATAAGCAACGCCCTGCGCGCCATTGTTGATTGGTGATATGCCCGCGCCTTCTTCCGCCCTCGACCGAAGTCAAATTTCACAGCGGCAAACCGGCAGGAGATAGTCCGCTCCTAGAACTATGGCTTCGACTTGGAGGTCCCCTACTGTCTTGGTGGGACAAAACTCTACGGTTAAGCCCTCACACAAGACGAAGAGCTACGAGTTCACAATCACCTTGGTCTCAGCCATTTCGTCATCGTCTATTTATGTGATACTACACTCTTGGGTTCTCACTGATTTGTTTATGTGGGGCCTCGAACATCCGACATTTATGTGGACAGTCTTTGCCAACCGGATACATCCGAGCACATCGAATGTTCTGAATGTATTAGGACCACAACGAGCTCCAGATACATTTACAATGTTGCGCAGCACACTGTGACCCTTGACTTATAACTGGGTGTACTGCTATTCCCGCTACTGGGTCCCTGCCACCTGCAATTCCCGCTACTGGGTCCCTGCCGCCCACTGCAGATGCAACGCGCCGCAGTACGGGCCTCGCTGCACGACTCTCCAAATGTGCAAAACGAGAACAATGAACAGCACTAAATCGGGACTGTAGCCCATATCAGGTGGTTACTCCACAATTGGGGCGAGGTGTGCCCCTATTTTTTATCACCACAATGGTACCGATGCAC